TGGAAGGTGTATTTAACGGGACTGTAAACTACCACAGAATTGCACCTTGGGATAAATTATAGCTCACCCTCAGCATCACCTTTCTGCGGTACTTGCTGCCATTATGCCTTGGCAGTTCAGTAGGCTACAGAGCTACCAGTGTGTATTTGACAAACTCTTTTATTCATTTTTGATATTGATGGCTGCAAAAATGGAGAGAAACGCAGTGAAGCAAAGCTGCATATTTTCAGATTGCTGTGAAATGCCCTAAAATAACAAACAATTTAAAGCCTAAGACAATTTAAAGCACCGTATGTTGACATATAAGCTATTTGTACTGTGATTCGTTTCTTCTGTTGTTCCCAAACAAAGTGATTTATACAAAATCAAACGAACCATAAACTCGTACGTCCATCTACTGTTCTTCATCACTAACAGCACAAGGTGGGCTGGGATACAGCCTGTTCCATACAACTGACTGGCCTATAATTTTAAGCCCTAAATCCTGTAATCAGATTCAGTAGTGCAGCCCTGCACCTGCGGAGCGCCTCACTGGTCCGCTAGCGGCAATCCAAGAGGTAGCAGATCCTCCTGGAGGATATAAAGGTTTAACTAAACTGAAAAAATTTGGGTTCCGAATGAAAGTTCATTCCATGCTTGTAATTGGAATATATAAAAGAAGACATGGGAAAATTCATGCGTTAGGCTTGTGATTTCATTGAAGTCAGTGGAGTCATTCCAAATTAATAATGACATAAAAGCAATCCGAACTTGGCCTTTAAGGTTATGTTCTATTAGTTTGCTAATACCATGTAAATTCTGTACTTGAGATGTATCCTGCAGTCATCTTGGCCGTTCTTTTTTAAAGGAAAGTTCTGCCTAGAATCTGCTGATACAGCTTGGGCCGTTATTTTGTAACTTATTTTTAAATCAAGACTGATTTCAGGAGCCATATTTGTGTCTATGGACAACATCAAACATGAGAAATGAAAAGCAGTGAAAAGAAATTTGTTTTCCAGCCGCCAATCGATAAATAGTTCCGCTTAAGAGAACTAGGCAGCAAATACACACAAAAAAATCCACCATAAAAATCATGTATACGGTCAGAAAAGATACTGTACGAGAAATATTAGTTCCACGCATCCGTATGGGTTGTGAGTACCATTAAAAGTCGACGGTGTCAGCCATTTGGCATATTTGCTGGCCTAATGCATTTATACAGCGTGTCTAGGCTAGGCATAATTTCACCGCTTTCATGAAGTGCAGCTTGGGCTTAATGAAGGAAAACCTAGGGCGGTAACAGCAGCAATCTGAAAAGTTGCAGAAGGGAGATGCTCACTGGGTTGCGTATAGAAATACCTTACTTCGTGTTGTCCCGCTCTGGACCTAAAATGGCTGGTTTGCAGGGGATGTTGTTGCCTGGTGACCAAAAAGTGCATCTCCTAGGTCACAGAGGGATGTGAACATTCAGAAATTGATTTGTTCCTGTTGCTCTTGAGGAGACCATACCCGTAAAAGAGATTAAGCCAGCACATAATCATCTATACATTCTCCTTGCTGGCATGCTTCAACTTGATATTGAAGATAGGCCTGTGATTTTGAGCCACTTACCAACCAGGCAAGGGAAAAACAGGATAATACCTTGTGCGCTACTGCCCACAGAATATGAAAGTAGACCAAGCCTCAGCTACTGCGAGCCTGCAAGACACCCCTGCTTCAATTAAGTCTGTGTTGTACATCTAGCCTGTTCCGGTGCAACCTCCCAGTTGCTATCAGGCTCTCTTTCTTTCATTAGAATCAAGTAGTTAATTAGC